TTTTTTTTTTTTTGTCCACTTACTATCCTTCTAAACTCTTTACTATAACCTCATTTTTGTTACAAATGGCCAAAATGACATAAAATGCCATAATCAGTTTACAATGGCCAATCCAACAAGTCAGTACTTGGGTAAGTTAAAGTGATAAGTCTAAATGTTCACTTTACCATCATTTAATACTTCAGTTTTGTTGTTTTTAGTTAAGGGTAGTATTTGGAAACTTAATTTTTATCTTTACGTGGCTTTTGTTTTACAGAGCTTCGATATGACCTGCCAGCATCATACAACTTTCATAAAAAGAAATCAGTAAGTCTGTTGATTTTGGCTTGTCTGTATTCAGTACTGAAAAGCTTTGTTAACAAGTAATTATTTCTAATGTTATACCAAATTGCCTGGGTAAATACAGAAAGCCAGCCTAAAAGATAGGATGAGTTAACAGTGGGAGGAGCCATCATTAGCCTAGTTTTAAATTCTTTCTCAAATGCTTTGGGCATAAAAAAAAAAAAACAAACCTAAGTTTTTGCTCTTTTTATATAGGATATATTTATTTGCTTGTAGTAGTACATCCTTGTATTATAAAGGCAATGAATGTAATGGAAGAATCTTCCTTTTGATATGAGTCATCTGAAATAACACAAACTATACATTCCAAAGGAAAAAAAAATCTTCATTTGGGTAACAACAAAAAAAGACAAGTTAAACAACAAAAAAACTTTTCTTTTCTTACAGGTGGACATTGAAGTGGACCTAATTCGATTTTCATTTTGAAATCTTCCAAAAGCAAAGGCATTTTAAAACCTAATTAAAATGAATAAAAAAACTGTATTAAACTACTGGTCTCCAGCACCATTTTCTGTTTTCTGTTGTTTTGCTGGGAGTTCTTCCTTGTCTGTTTCTTCTCTTGCTCTTTTCACAGGTCCTATACAATAGTAAAATTTTTATTAGATTCATGTAAGCACTGCTGTTTTAATACTGAGCATAACTGTTGATTCTTTTTTGAAAAGATTAGCAACATCTTCCTTGAACCCAAGAGAAAAGACTTTTTAGACCATCTGATCTTCTCATCTTCTAAACCAGCGGTTCTCAACCTGTGGGTCACGACCCAAAAGAACTATATTAAAGGGCTGCGGCATCAGGAAGGTTGAGAAACACTGTTCTAAACATCTTGTCTCACACTCATAAAACAGAACAAGTGAGATAAATTGTAATAATCCAAGATGCACTTATACAGAAGTTAAAAAACTACATCCCTGTTCTCCCTGACAAATAATTTCTCATGAAAATACAAATTGCTCCTCAAACCATCAAAAGACTTAAAAAAAAAACTTACCAGTTGCCCCATTTTCATCATGTTCTTCATCACTATCAAATTTCGTTTTCTTGCCCTGAAACTGCACTTTTCCTTTAGCAGACCCAGGCTGGGTGGCTTTATTACCCTTACTTTTCCCCTTAAATCTGCGACCTGTAGAAGACATATGTGAGCACTTAGTAAAGAAACTCTCTGTTGCCAATGTTTTTAAACACTGATGTAAATTTTTACTCAAGCAAATGACTTAAATAACCAACTGTTAAAGAAAAATCATTACAGGCTCGGTGCCCATAGCTCAGCAGTTAGGGCACTAGCCACATACACGAGGGCTAGCAGGTTCAAACCCAGCCCAGGCCTGCTAAACAATGACAACTACAACAAAGAAAAATCAGAATAAATGACCTTTTGACTTCCATTTGTTTAGAGATTCTTGTTGGTCTTCTATGATTTTTTTCAATGCTGCTTTTTCTACTTCTCCTTCTAATACTTCCCATGTCACTTCTTTGTTCCTTAATTGTAGATTGCCATTATTTGCATCTTTGGCTTTATCCAATGCTTCCGTGGCTTTTTCCTTAAACAGAATTATCCCCTATGCCAAAAGAAAAAATAAAAATCATACCCTTAGTTTTTAGTCCCACAATTATTTTCTTTGTTCCAAGTAACTTTTCCTATTCTGCAAATCTCCCATGCCATTACCAGTTTGAATGAATTTTACTGAACATAAGAAAAGGAATGCTACAAAAGTAAACAGTTACACCAATTAGTCATAGTATAATTTAGAAAATATCAGATATAACATCCAGTGACAGGAATAACAAAAAGTTAATAACCAAGTATAAAATACTTTTAATAAACAAAAAATTGCTTTCTAATTTTATCTTCCAAAAGATGTTTCTACAGATTTTTTAAATAATTACTATAAAAAATGTTTCCAAACCTCTTTTGCGCCTCTGACAAAGTATATCCATTTTATTTCACCATGACTTGAGAAAAGGACGTGCAAATCTTCTCTACAAGTCTGATCATCTAAGTCACCTGAAAATTTCAGCAAGCACCCAATCTTTTCTTCTAGAGATTTCTATAAAAATACATAACCAAAAAAGTTTCTTAAAAGCAACCACCAATCAGAAATGGCTCACACCACTGTATACCCATACAAGGAGAAACCTAGAAACCAAAATACTATTTAAAGTAGTTTAATAGTGTACTTTACTTTGTATTTACAATAGCTTCTGATTTTTTTTTTATATTTACTTTTCATTTTATTTTAGAGACTGTCACCCAGGTACAGTGCTGGGGCATCATTATAGCTCATGAAAACCTCAAAACTCTTAGGGTCAATTGATCTTGTCTCAACCTCCTGAGTAGCTGAGACTACAGGCTCCCTCTACAAACCAGGCTAATTTTTCTTTTCTTTTTTTTAAATAGAGATGGGATTTTGCTCTTGCTCAGGCTCAGCTCCTGATCTCAAGGGATCCTCTCCACCTCAACCTCCCAAAGTGCTAGGATTATAGGCATGAGCCACTGTGCCTGGCCTGGCTTCTGGTTTTAATTTACAAGTAATATAAACAATTATAAAACTACATAAATCTGAGTATTAAACTATCTCTGGATAATTTTGGGCGATATTATATATTCCCCAGTGCAATGACAACTCTAGATTTGCTTGCTTTTCTTTTTTTTTT